AAGAAACGAAAACGAATAAAAAAAACCGGTACATGCGCATATCTATCATCAGGATACCTGTCAGGTACGACGATGTATGCGTATATGTGTGCGTGTGTTATACGAGCGTGTGCTGTACGTGCATGTGTGGATGCGCGAGAAAGAGCGTGTGTCAAGCGCGTGTGTAGCGGCGAAAATCGTGTACACACGAGGCTCTCGGAAAATCATTTCGAACAGAACAGAACAGGTGGGGAGAATCCATCCTCGGCGCGAGAAGGCGCGCAGCAGCCGAGTCGTTACCACTGCAGTGCGGCGAGTAAACTTCGTCGAGTGCATAGATTGCACACGATGCGGGCTCTTCCCCGTAGTAGAAACATACATAGAGCTACCGTATAGAGTAAGAGTACGCTAGTATATAAAAGTTCATAAATCTGTATATATTTTCCTTTCGAATATAAAATTTCAAATACGGGAGTATATCAGACAAAAATATCTTTAAATGAAAACATTACTCTTCAGTAATTATCAGATTACAACCACATTTATTTTTTTGATATGTATTAATTTTAAAATCTTTGATAATTAATATTTTTTCAATGTAGGTATATGCTATAGCGAGATAATACGTATTTATAAACACAACTTTACCAGTCATTTCATTTTATTTTAATCGATTCTTTGCCTATTTTCAATAATAAGTAAATATAATTAATTAAACTAAAAAATAAAAATTAACCAAGTTTAATGAAAATAGACTTTTAGATCCCAAAAAAGGATATAATTATGATTCAATATGTATGAAAATTATTTTTTCTAACATAAAATATTGTAATGTACGGATATATGCGCTTCGTGTACTATGCAATTAAAATAATCAAACTATTCAAACGTAAACAAAATTCGAAAAGCAAAAGAAATCGATCTCTTGTCACATTGATAACGACTATCTAATTGAGTGCACTTTCCCTCCTGTTTCATCGCGAATGCGGTAACATGACGAATATATGGCCGAACAGTAGATCTTGACATTCCGAGTGTATTTGGGAATTAGGTAAAGAGATTCCATGGATTATATTCGGGAACTTCGAGCTTCTCTTGGAGGATTTCGGACCGAAGATCCTCGAGTTTCTCGAGACTACAAGTCAGAATAATAACGTCAAGGGAGAGTTCCTGTCAAGAGACAGTTTAGTGATATATAGTTACCCCCTTCCTTTCGTATTAAAAAATTAAAAAAGTCATCGACGAGTCTGTCTCTCTGTGCAGCAGAGTGCGAATCAGATTTTACAAATATGTATCGTTACCGCACATGCCGCTATAATTACATGCAATGTAATTATGCAACGATTCATTGTAACGACTTGGAAATGCGTCAATTATTACCAACCGCCGAACAAATATCGTCTAACCGCTCGATATTAACTATCATTGGTTTGTTTGGAATGTTACATTGATTGCAAATGAGTTATTAAATCGTTGCATTGTTATCATTAATTATCAATTGCCATTGGAATAGCCGAACGATTATGTTCTAAGATACTCTCCATAACGCTTGAATAATTCGTTTCATTTGGTAGTGTAATGAACACAATAATCGGCCAAGATTTCCAATGTTAATCCCTGAACGTAAAATGTATATTTGCTTTCAATTTTATATATATATATATA